AGCATTTCAGAAAACTAATCATTTCATATCATAATTTTCAGAAAATATTTAATATTGAACATAGCTTTACAAAATTATTACTCACAGATGGCTCCAATAGTAGAACAGATACAGCAGACGGATCAGATAGTCTATGGCGCGTGACCTACACAAACACATAACGGATACATATTGAAACAAACGTTTGGAAAATACTTAACTTGTTTCTTTTCTATCTTGGTGTGTTTCTAATCCTTATCCTCATTATTGTGTCTTAATTAAGGATTAGGAATGCCTAGGATGCAATGAGGATGCCAAAATGTAGCTTGAAACACTTAGTCAAAATTTCAAAAATAGGGCAATCTGCTCGAGCGCAACATCGGTCGCTTGAGCGATCTGCAAAGTTTGCAAAAGTACAGGTTACTTGATTTTTACAGGTTGCAAAAGTACAGTGCTCGAGCCAAATATTGAGTAAACAGAGTCTTCGCTCGAGCGCAACTTCGGTCACTCGAGCGGTCTGTAAAATACTGTAAAACTTCTGGGAGTTCTCATTTTACGCTCAAGCACAACTTACTATGCTCGTGCGGAGGATCAAAAATAAGGGCGGTTGCTCGAACGCAGGTTCTACCGCTCAAACCAACCCCCAAACTCTACAAAAGTACTGGGAACTCGCATTATTTGTTAGAGCACAGACTCCACCACTCGAGTGAATGGTGCAAATTCTAGAATTTCTAGATTGCTAATTCAAGTTCAAAATCCATTTTCAAAGCATCAAAACACATCTTTTTGGGCCAAAACTTAGTAAAACATTGGGAAACTCATATTACAAAATGAATTTCAAACCATTTTGCAAAATCAAACCCAAAGCTTTTCCAATTATACCAAAACCAAACCTGAAACTTTGAAAGCATAACATGCATGTAATGAATTGAATTCAAAGCCTCCAAAATCATGATCAAATAATGTAAAATGATGAAAAACATGACGAATTCCCAAAACTAAGGTAGAATTGTTACATGCATATTTGAATTCTTGAAAATTAAGTTCAAAATATAAGAAAATATGCATGTATGCATTGTATGACTTAAATTCCTTCATTTCTAACTCAATTCTCATGTTTAAACACAAGGTCTCCATAGATTCAGGCCCGGCCTTGAGATTTTCGGGGCCCAAAGCCGATAATCAATTAATAAATTTCTGGGGCCCTTCATATTTTTTTTTTCATTGAATGAAAAAAAAAATTGAAAGTAAAGGACAAAAGATTTGTATCAAAATCACAAAAAATACTTAGCATTACATTACAATAACTAATAAGCATCGCTTGATCATTACTCTTCTTGTATTTTTAGAAGTAAATAAATCAATCATATTTGCATAATCTAATTTTTTTACAAAATCATTTTCAATGAATAACAATACTAATTATTTTAAATGGGTCTTTCAATTTTTTAATGGATTAATTTATTTTAAGTTAATTTGGGTCTTCCTTAATTTTTTTTGGACTTAAAATATACTTAATATATTAGATTAAACTATAATAAGAGAGATCCCTTTTTTGGGTCTATTTTCAGTGGATAACATTGCTAATTTTTTGAATGGTTTTTCAATTTTTTAATGAGTCAATTTATTTTAAGTTAATTTGGGCCTTTTTTAATTTTTTTAGACTTAAAACATACCTAATATATTACACTAAATTATAATAGGAGAAGCCTCTTTTTTTAATCTATTTTGAAGGGCCCTAGGTCATGGCCTTGTGACCTATGCCCGAGGACTGGCCCTGCATAGATTCTCTTCATTAATGACTTAGACACATAGATTCGAAGTCAAATACTCACCTAAGGTCTCCAATTGAGTTCTAATCAACAAATTCTTGAGCTCCTACAAGTCATACCTTCAATTCTCCACATTTCCAAGCTTGAGTTCAACTTTCCCAAGTTCTCTCTCTCTCTCTCTCTCTCACGATTATGAGTTCAAGAAGGGGATGAAATGCTAGTGTCTTACATATCCTAAAGTCATTTGTGCCTTATATAGGCTTAACTACGCTGCTTTAATTAATTTGAGTCAAGGTTAGCTACTTAGGATTATTTTATTCTAATTAATAGTGTCTGAATCGAATTCCAATTAAACCTATCATATTATTCTAAAAATTCCAAATAACACATAAACCAAGTCAATTTTGTGATCAAATGCCGATAAGGCCTTCAATTTGCGTACCTAAACAAAAACACAGACAGATATTCCTACGTTAGACAGATACAAACACAATAACACAATTCACATGTAATTAACTCAGAATTTCCTCTTAATTACTTAGTAGGCATTCTTAATCAAAGATTATAAGCTAATCACAGGTCAAGGTTGTTACACAAGCAATGTCATCGTTTCGCAGGCTCCATCAACTTGTCTTGTATGCCAGTTATATCCATGTTCCAAAGGGGCGCTATGATGTAAGACTTCCACTAGATGATTGGGGCTTCGAATTTCCTTTTCCAGCTTGATGTCCCCATGCTTCAGTATTGGAATCCTGTTCAATCCCATGATTTGGCAGTATTACTTCCAGCTTCATTATTGGGCTTCTCTTTGGGCAAAAAATTTTCATCCCATTTTCTTTGAATAATTCCTAGTGATTCCCCATGTAGTTGATCCGGTTGACAATGGCAAAGAGTGGTGATGATAATGATGAAAATGACTCATTTTTCTGTTATGACTAGTTCAGCCTAGTAGTTATTTGGAGGCTATGATTAACTTCTCCAGGCGCAAGAAAATTCCACTTTTTAATTCATTACTGGACCGTATTCAAAATAAATTGCAAGGCTGGAACTGCCATGTTTTTAACTTTGCTGCTCGTTGTACTCTTATACAATAATCGGTCCCCATTTATATTCTCTCAGTTTTCAAAGTGCGTGCCATAAGGCTTCCTTTCCAGATTATTAGTAGTAATTATGAATTTTTTGTGGCTTTCGAATATGGATAAAGGAATTTGTTAGCGTAAATGGAGTCATGTATGTCTTCCTATGGGGGTGAGGTGGTGGTGGTGGTGGTGGTGAGGGTGGGGAGAGGGAAGGGGGGTTGGGGCTTTGTGATCTGGTAAGTTTTAATCAAGCTTTATTGGGCAAGCAAGTGTGGCGTATTCTTCCCAATCTAGAGTCTCTCATGGACAAAGTTTTACTTGGGAAGTATTATTGTAATCAGTCCTTTTTAGAAGTCATGGTCTCAACACCGGTTTCCTGGGGTTGGCATAGTATTTTATGGGGTCGAGACCTAATTAACAAGGGGTGTCAATGGGTGGTTGGTGATGGCCAGATGAACGGATACCTCACTTCCTAATCCTTTGAAAGGTAGGGGTCTGAGTAATTATTCCGTGTCTTTAAAATTATCCCGTATCATTGACCTTGATGTGTAGTTGGTGTAGGGATTTTCTTAGAGCTGTTTTTCCCTCAAGATTGTCCTCAATCCGTGGAAGGAATCCACTTATCTGTTAACCAGGACAATGATAAAGTGGTTTGGGACTCGTAATGGTGAGTACACGGTTAAATCAGGATATTCATTAGCCATTGGACAACAAATGTTGGATGTTCAAACTAGTCATAGGTAGACTGGTAGAATTTGGAAAAGGTTATGGAATCTTAATACACCCCAAAATGGTTCACCTTTATTTGGAAATGTTTGTGTAATGTTCTCCTAGTGAAATGGAATCTAAAGAAAAGAGGAATTAATGTAAATCCCTTTTTGCCCTCAGTGCAATCAGTTGAAACAGTGCAACATCTTTTCTTTGAATGCGATGAGTCGCGAGGTATTTGGCAGGGGTCAAAGTTAGGTTTAGATTTCACTAAAGGAGAACCATTTTCTTTCTTAGTTTGGTTCAGCCAGTGGGTAGAAGTTATTAAAGAAGAGGACCTCATTGTGCAGTCCGGTATCATACTTCAGCCTATGTGGGATCAACGGAATAAATGGGTATTTCATAATAAATTTAAGTCTGCTCTTGATGTGTTAGATGACTTATGGGCTTCGGAAATTATGGTTGAGCAGCGGAATACTTTTAATGAGATGTTGAATACTAGAGCAGTGGTAAAATTAGAAGGAAACGAATCCAATTGTTGCTTACATGCGAATTCTCCCATCACAGATATTTCTTCTCAGGTTTGTACCTTTACAATAGATGCATCTTGGCAAGAAAAAAGTGTAAGGCAGGGTATGCTTGGCTCTGATATGATGAAAGCCAAGACCAGGTGGACGGGAGCACAGAGATGCAAACTTCCATCACCTCCCGCTACGGAAGCAAAACCTCGCTAGGCTGCTGATCAAAGGGCAAAGGAGAAGCAACTTCAATGTGTATTCATTTTTACAGAGTGCCAAATGTTGATCAATGTCCTCACTGAGGTCTGTATGCCGGACTGGAACTCAGCGACAATATTTAATGATATTATAACCTATGCTAAACATTTCACCTTTTTGTATATAGCCGGCAGATAAACTGGCTCTGTACTAGAACTTTGTTAATATATCTATATTTTCTGTGCTTGAACAAAAAAAAAATAAATCAAACTACCAACAATAACAGACAGCGTATATATACACGTATTTTTCTATTTTTTTGATACAGAGCAATTGTCAGACCTGAAATTATCAAACTCATTTGGGGCGGGGCAGGCACCATCCCATAATTGGGTGGTTTCCAAAACCATAATAACCACCCTCAAGCCTCCCAACTAAATTTGCAACCGAAGAGTGATGGAGACCCCCTCCAATCACAACCCCCACCACCCCACACACGTGACAGGTGGTGATTAGAAGACAAGGGAAAAAAAAAAAAAAAAATCCAACTAATGAGAGAGAGGGGGTCAAAGGGGGTGGGAAAAAAAAAGTGTCAACCACTAGGCCAGTGCTTAATTTAGCTAACTGCACGACCGGAAAAAAAAAAAACAAAACAAAACAAAACAAAACAAAAAAACAAAAAAAAAAAAAAAAAAAAAAAAAACAATTAAAGCAAAAAAGCCATTGAACTGCTTTTACAAAAGAAATAGAAATAATAATAATACTTAAATTGACGAACTATAATAAAAACAAGAGTAAAATCATCCTAAAAAAAGAATTTAAACCGTAACCCCATGGAAAAATTAATAAGATTGATTCACTGCATATGTTAGCAGGCGGCAGCTTCTTCCCAGGTAAAAACTACATTCATCTTAGAACTAGTGGCAGTATTGGATGCAAGACATCCGTAAGTCTCTTGTAGGAGATGATGGAGATGCAAAGCTACAAATCACATTTTCCCGACTTCAACCCAACACAATAAGAACAGAATTGCATCTTTCCTTTGAGAAAGAAAAGGATAAAAAATAAAAAATAAAAATAAAAAAGAAATAAAGGGTGAAAGAGAAAATGGGAGGAAGAGATGGGGTTGGAAAAAAGCAACTGGCTTGCCCAGGAATAAAGACAAGTTGCTGTCTCATTGATTCTGCAAAAGAAGCTTCTGGACCATCATATTAGGATGCACTTGCTACAGATTTATGAGGCGCTGCAAAAAGTGAGAAATTTTGAAGACCCTCGCGTTGCTGGTTGGCGCAAAAGGGGGAAAGAGCTTTCTCCAACAGCAACCCAAGAAGAGTTTGAACAAGCAACAATAAATTTCTTCCTGGATCCATCTTCATGCATAGTACATGTACAGACTGTTTGCAGCAGCACAAGCAATTGAGTTTTCAGTTGGATGCCATGCTAGGTGGAGCAACTTTGTTGTGAAATCATATGAATTTCCATTTGCATCTACTCCGGGGCTTTCAGATCCTGTTAAAGGATATTCCAAAATTTACATTTAATGAAATACATGCCCCGATGTCAAGTGTCAAAAATAAAACTGGCAAACAGAAAAAATGGTGCTCCTGCATTGGCATGCATGCACAAACACACAAGAGAGAGAGAGAGAGCTGACCTCGTCTGACAACACGTGTTATACTACCGAGGGATCTGGAAGGCCTTGAAGGGGTCTGAACTTGTCTCCTAAAAGGCATATAAAAGTTTCTATAATTACTAATGTCACAAGTTGAAATCAACGTTAGTCTCGCACTTTTGACATTTTTGTCAAGAGTAATGATATACAAACAAAATATCTGTGCAAAATTTTCAAACAAAATGAGGTGGCTGTTTGCATTGTGAGCCTTTCATTTCGAATCAAAACACCCACCAACATTATTAAAGGCACGGCTAGGCCCAAGTCCTATCCAGGCCCAAGGTTTGCGCCTTGTAGTGTTGCAGGCTAGGCGACTTCGATAAGGCCTACCTAGGCGTGCACCTAGGCCCAAGATTTGTGCCTTGTAATGTTCTAGGCCAGACAACTGTGATAAGGCGCCTGATTGGCCCAAAACTTGCGTCTTGAGGGCTTTTTCCATTGTTGCTTTAACTGGTTTTGTTTAAAATTTAACCATTGATTTAGTATGGTGTAGCTACAGAAGATCCCTACTCTTATTATAGATGCCAATACATTGGGCATTCAACTCCAAATCAATGATAGAAGAAAAATTAGCCCTAATTCTTAATCTCTAAAAAACAACAAATGTTTAACATTTCATTTTGTTTATACTGAGCCCTTAATTATTTACTTATATTAAATTATATTTTTTTTTCAGTACAAGGTGCGCCTCACTTCGTTGAAGCTTGCGCCTCGCCTTGCGCCTTGAGCCTAGGCTCCAAGAGACCTTGGTGCCTCGGTGCGCCTATCGCCTTTAATAACACTTAACACCCACCATTATGACTCATATTTTAAAAAATGTCACGATCACATCATTTTGAATAAGTTTTTTTGTACAAATATATCTTTGTACTGTAAATCATTATTCTTTTGTACAAGATACCTCATGGGGTTCTTGCTGGCTTCCAGGGTAGTTGCTTCATTACTGCCCGCAGCACGACCAAACACTCGGAATAGATTGCTGGAATCACATTAATTTAATATTAGATGCATGTCTGAAGTAAAACAGCAACAATGATAAAATGGGCAGCAGAAATAATGTGAACAGACCTGTATGAACCTGTTGCCACTCGCAGCCCATCACCACTCAAGCAGCACTCAAATTTATCAAAGATGGAATCATTTTCATATAGATCACATAGCTAGACAAAAACAAACAAACTTATCTTGCTTACATGTCAAAGCATTAAAAAACTTTACATAAAGACGTGGAAGAATAAAGGGAGTTACCTTAGGTCTTAGATACTCATGAACCTGGAAGGTTGAAACTGGACCTGAATCCATATTAATATCCCATAACTGCAAGCAACCAAAATGGATTAGAGCAAGAAAGTAAATTCAATCAAACTATGCTAGAGTAGAGGATTTCAAATCTAGAGTCGTGTTTTTGGCAGAAAACTGCAAGCAGGTAAGAAACCTAAAGATGTAAGAGCATCCAATCTACCCCAACAAAGCAGCCAGGAGCTATCCAACTGAAACAATCATGGAAAACATATGCCAATACATACACGTGCACATCCATTTATGATACGGAACAACAATTTAGGTATGTCTGCTGACTGAAATTACATTAAAAAAACAAGTGCAATTGTTCAGAATATGACATTCCCAAGTCCCATCAGAAATTTACGATGGCTTTCCACTCACACCCTTACTAAACCACGTATAATTGCAGACCATTACAAGTCCAAATTCATGTTAAGTGACAATTAGGAAGTCCAAACTAATTGCAGAACATTAGAAGTCCAAGCACATGCCAAAGCATACACATGTTAAAAAAATAAATAAATATAAGAAGAATAAAGAAAGAAAAGAACAAAGAAAATTGTGTACGGTGAGAACAAAAAGTGGCTTTGTTATTCAGGGCTTGGGGGCTTCCACTACAGATTATTTAACGCTTGGACTTAAAATGGATCCCGGTTAATTGATAGAAGTTTCCAGTCGTCCCTACCTATGAAGCACGGACACGGACACGGGCACGCATACGGACACGGACACGGACACGGGACACGTTAATTTTTAAAAAATGGGGACACGGACACGGCAGGGGACACGGCAGATTTTTTAATTTTTTTATAAATATTTTTATTTTAATACATATTAATTATTTTATTTATTTATTATATTTTTTAAGTAATATGTTCTAATTAATTTTTTTATTTTATTTTATATACATGTTTATTTATTTTTATTAATATGTATAAATATATATAATATAATAGTTATATAATAATAATAGTTATATAATCATCCTTTATAACTATTATAATAATAATACTATCAGTTATTATTATTATAATAATAATAGTTATATATTATATATATACGAGTCCAGTAGATGAAAGAAGACAAAGACGCGAGAGAGAGAGAGAGAGAGAGAGAGAGAGAGAGGAAGAAGCGATCGATCGCGATCGCGATCGCGAGGGAGAGAGAGAAGGTGAGAGAGATAGAGCTCGTCGAAGTCAAAGGGCGACTGGATCGTCGAAGTCAAAGGGCGACTGGATCGTCGAAGTCGAAGGGGATGGAGGTCGAGGTCGACGGCTTACGGTGGAGGTCATGGAGGTCGCCGGCGAGTTGACTGGACTGGATCGAAGTTCAGGTTTGTTCCAACACCTTCACTCTTCTCCTTTACTCTTCTTTTTTGCTCTCTGTGTCCAGATTTGGACAACCGTGTCCAGATTTGGTGGACACGCATGTCTCCGCCGTGTCTCCACCGTGTCCCCTGCAAAAAAATAATTAAATTAAAGGGACACGCCACCCGGCGTATCCCGTACGTGTCCCCGGCGTGTCCCCGTGTCCCCGGCGTGTCCCCGTGTCAGACACTGCCACGGCATGAAATCTGCCGTGTCCATGCTTCATAGGTCCCTACTACACCCCAACAGGGGAAGACATTTATGCAATTCAACTATAAAAGAAAATAAGGAAATTCTAAATTGAGAATACGAACATTCATGGTATAGATTCTTCTGTCGAGATGTAGAACATTTAAAAAAATAAAAATAAAAAAAGGAAATGACAAATAAGTCCGCATATTTAAACTCCAAATTTAAAAGATAGCCATGCAAGGACAAATGCTTTCATTTTCTTCCTACAACTATGTTGTGGCTTCAAAGCAACTACTGGATAGTCCAGATGCATAAATTGTTCATTTCCTACTTTTCAAAGAGACTAATTCCATCATGCTTCCCAAAATCTAAAATGTTTTTGGGAGCTCATATTCAGTCTAAAAAGGGTTAAATGACTTTTGTGTAGATGAAGGATAAGTTGACTGAGGAATTCCCACTGGAACAATGGCACACACTGGTATGGCTGGAGACCACCGGAGGTGGGAGAGGACACAATCAAGGACAATCTTAGCAGACAGAGAGAGGATGACAGCGGAGTGTCCAAGAGTTAGAGAGCAAGGCATATAATGATGATGCATGGCCTGTATGGAGGTTCCCTTTAAATAGGTGGCAAGCCAGCTCAGCCGAGCATACGTGGCGTGGCCCCTTGACAAGGAAAAATGAAAGGAAGCAGGGTCAACTTTGCAACTTCTGATGTCAGCCTCATATGCTACAGCATTCGATGTGTCAAATCTTGGTCAGAATCCCTCTTTAGTAATAAGATTAGCCCAAGCACACTTCATGCCCAAGGGGACACATGTCGAGTGCCTAGACAATCCAACAACTTATTGTGTTTGCTTGCCTTTGGAAACAACTTGTGGGAGCTTGGTTGGCTAGTAAATAGTGTTAAATAGTGCCACACATTTGCACTTGCAAAGCTTCCACTTGACAGATGTGTCACAGTTCGTATCAAAGCCTGACTTTCTTGGCTTTCTCTATCAACGGCTTTCTAAATAAAAGCTAGCTCGACCATGCCAATGCAATGGGAGAGGATTGAGCTCCTTGAGGAATGCATAGACAACATTGCAGGCTCTTTGGCTAATCTTGAGGAACAAGTGCACAATCTTGAGCAAGCACATGGCAAAGGCTCAAGGGCATGATTGAAAAGATGTGGGCCGAACTCAGTCTTGAGTTGGAGAATCTTAATGGCCGGGTTGGTGTCCTTTACCCATGCTTTTGGCAACGCACCTGGTAATGGCTTGGAGTTCACTAGGCCACGCGTGCCACAGCCCCGTGCCTACGGTGGTGCTCGAGATGTTAATGAGTTGGACAACTTCCCCTTTGACATGGAGCAATATTTCACAGTCGTGAGGGGTGACTTGAGGGAGTCCAAAATCTCTATAGCCACAATGTATTTGTCCAGTGATGCCAAACTATGATGGCGGACAAAATATGATGAGATGCAACAAGGCCTAATGCACAATTGAGACATGGGATAAACTCAAGCATGAACTCAAGCTTCAATTCTTCACTGTATAAGTGGAGTACAATGCATGGCATGCTTCGTGAGATCTCAAACATACTGGCGCTAATAGACACTATGTCAAGCAATTCTTTGCGCTTATGGTTGACATTCAGGATATGTCAGAGCAAGACAAGCTCTTCAACTTTCTAGAAGGATTAAAGTCGTGGCAAGAATTGAGCTTCAAAGGTAACATGCGCAAGACCTAGCCTATGCACAAGTGGCAACAGAGTGCCTAACAAACTATTCTAAACCTAAGCAAAGGGATGGGTCCCTGCGCAAGAATAGGGGATGCGACAATTCCAAAGGCTGTAGCGAACCTAATAATGGGGGAACCAACACATCCACCTCCAAAAGTCACTCAATCGGTGGATATGGGCAACAAAAGAGCTATGGTGATAAAGCAAATGCTCTATAACAATCAACATGTAAAGGGTGAGGCCTTATTTCCTGCACTATATGCAATAGGCTTCGTATGTTGTTTGAATGCCTGTAGACAAGTGCATGGAATGCTTTGACCAAGCAGCAATGATAGCGAGGAAGATGATGTGCCATCTAGGCAAAGTGGGAAGAGTTCTAAGGCGACTGGCTCACAAGTGAGAGCTTTCCACATGATTAGGAGAGGGAATTTGGCAGAGACCCATTAACAAGACTTGAATCGTACACGTAATTAAAGGGTTAGGGTTGGTCAATTTTTTACTCAAACACAAATATGACACGATCCGAGAACATTAACATTAAATGGGATTGTGTTCTAGTTGAACACGCGTAACCCGAAATGGACACATTTGACCCTTGCAAAAATCTATGTCGATGCATTGACACAAACCTACCATTGACTAGCATGTCACCTAAATGCAACCTGAATACGATAGTCATAGGATTTTAAATAGTTTGTTTGCAGTCGTTAGATTAGATTTAGATCTTTATAAAACATGTAACTTAAGTTACCCTATTCTTAATATGACATGCTTTCGATGAAAGATTGAACTTGCCCTCTCTCTCACTTCTTTGTTGCACAATGCTCGTACTCTCGAAGCTTTTAATGGCAGTTGATTAATATTTGTCATGTTACAAATTTGAATCAATCTGTTCAGTTTGGTTTTAGAAATCTATTTTTTGATTATTTTTTTTTAAATATAAACTAGTTTGATGGCAATAAATACCAAAAAAATATTTTCTTCCACTATTATTTTATCCCCCAACAATTCTGTTAAAGGCATTTTGTAGAATTCTTTAGTAAAGATTTTTTTAATTCAAAAGTGGAGTCCTGATCCCATTAACAATCGCAAGTACTGACCCTGATACTTCCCCATTGCTGACTTTTTGATTTATTATTATTACTTTTTGTTTTCTTATTATGTTTCTTTTTTGTTTTGACATAATTCTTTGTTTTCTACCAAACAATATAATATGTCCAAGAATATCATATTTTATACCAAAATGTACATTGTAGACTTCCACCACACTTTTCTTTTACCATTTTATTTTAACAGTTGTGATTGTTGGATCTCAGCATAATGAATTTTTTTAAACCTGATTATTGATGGTTCAGTGTTTTGGTTCACAGTGATGGTTTTCAAAATTTATTTTCTGATTTTTTTAAATATAGACTAGTTTGGTGAAAATAACTAGCAAACATATATTTTCATTCCCAAAAGTAAAAACCATATAAAAATGATGAGCAATTTTCTTTTTTTTCTTTCACCAAACTAGTTTTTATTTATTTTAAATTTTTTTAGACAAAAAATTTTGAAAATCAAACCAAACAGAGCGACTAACTTTTTTTTTCGTGTGTTGTTTTTTATTAACTTATTTTTAATCTGGTACCCATATAGATTTCATTAACATTTTTTTGTGTCCTTGAACAGATGGACAAATGATTCTGGAAAAAAAAAAAAAAAATGAAGACATTATTGTTAATGGAGATGTGCAAAATGGTGAAGAATATA